GGGAGGTGGATCAGCCGGGCTTGGGGCTGGGCCTGCTGCCCACTACGTTACCCAGACCTCTCCAGCCGGGGGCTCCACGTCTCAGAAATGGGATCAAAAACCCGGGAGAGGCCCGAGCTGCGGGGGCGGGGACGCTGGGGGGGGGGTGCGCTGCGTGCGCAAAAGCACGGAGTTGGGCTGCGCGCGCGTTCGAGGAAATGCGAGGAACCGTGACGACCCCGCCTAGGAGCGGGGGACGGGAGGTCCCGCCTCCCCCATCGCGGGGCAGCGCCCGCTGGGGCCCGGCCGGTGCGGCTCGGCCGAGTGCAGGCTTCTGAGCCCCCGTTCTGCAGGACGGGAAACTGAGGCATGGTGTGAGCCCGGCTAAGAGTTGAGGCGACCCCAGTGGGTAACGCCGGTGCTCAGGGCGGCCCTCCGCCTCTGCAGGCCCCCCGTGGGTGGTGCTCGGGCCCCTAGCTGGACTGTTGCCCCCCAGAAGTCACTTTGAGGGAGGGGCGAGTCTGGTGAGGTTGGCGGCTGCGCACCGGTCCCCGGTCCCCCAGTCCTGCCCGGAACCCAGAGTGCAGCAGGTGCGCGGAACCTGGGCCCGCGAGGCCCGGGGGTGCGGGTGGCGGCGGCAAACGCCACCGTCAACCCTGGAGACACCTCGACCTGTCAGGGCGTGGCCCCGGGTGGGGCTGGGCCGCACGTGCCGCCCGGGTCCCTCTCCGCGTCACTCGGGCTCGCAGACATTTCTCTCTCTACCTGCGCCGTGAGCGCACGGACGCCAACCGAACATCTGTGGGTCCCTGTGAGTGGACAACCCCGACCCTAGTGCCTAGATAATGGGCGCAGCCAAAATCACACCGGCTACTTTGGATGTGTGTGTGTGACGTGTGTGACGTGTGTGACGTGTGTGTGTGTGTGTGTGTGTGTGTGTGAGAGAGAGAGAGAGAGAGATGTGTGTGTGTGTGTGTGTAACATGTGTGTGACGTGTATGTATGTGTGTGTGTGAGAGACGTGTGTGTGACGTGTGTGTGTGTGCGTGACGTGTGTGTATGTGTGTGTAACGTGTGTGTGATGTGTGTGTGACGTGTGTGTGTGATGTGTGTGTGTGACATGTGTGTGTATGTGAAAGGGAGAGAGAGATGTGTGTGTGACATGTGTGTGTGTGTGTGTGTGTGTGTGTGCGTGCGCGCGCGCCAACCCAGCTGTCTAGGTAGACCAGACTGGGCTTGAACTCACGGAGCTCTGCCTGCCTCTGCCTCCATGAGGGCTGGGATTCAAAAGCATGTGCTACCACGCCTGGCAAAATAATATTTTAATTAATTTTTATTTATTTGTGTGTCTGGGTGTCTGTGCGCACGGGGAGAGGAGCTAGCGCAGCGCATGCAGAGGTCAGAGGACAGCGGGGTGTTTTCGCCCCCCACCCTCTGTGGGTCCTGGGTCCCCAGCCCCGGAGGCCGCTTAGCGGTGCCCTTACCTGCAGAGCCGAGTCCCGGCCCCTGGAATCCCGTCCTCAGCATTTTCACAGCCTCTTTAAAGGCAAACGCCACGATCTGCCGCCTCCATTTACGGCGGGGATATATTTAGAGGTGCGAGCATGAGGACCGACTTCCTAGGACCAGCAGGATGCGACTCTGGGGTCCCGGACCGCATCAGGCCGGTTCCGTAAGGCGTGCGCGCCCCCTGCAGGGCACCAGAGGAACTGCGTCCAGGTAGAGCGCAGCGTTGCCGTGAGGGGCCGCCAGGTGGCGCCATTGCACCTAAAAAGCCGGTTCCCCAAGTTAGGTTTGGAGAAACCGAGGCCTGAAGTCATTTTCTCCTACATAGATTTTCTGTGCAGTCGAGGTGTCAACGTGTAGCCCATGATGGCTTTGAACTCATGATCCTCCTGCCTCTGTTTTTGTGTTTTGTTTTTTAAATATTATTTATTATTTCATGTGCGTTCATGTTTTGCCCGTGAAGGTGTCCGATCCTGGAAACTGGAGCTGTAGGCACTTATGAGTTGGGACTTGAACTCGCATCCTGTGCAAGAGCATCCAGTGCTCTTAACCGCTGAGCCATCTCTCCAGCCCCCTTCTGCACGAAGTTAAATTTCCTAAAGGGGCACTGCACGTGGCCACATCATTTTCCGTCCCTTCCTTCCTTCCTTCCTTTTTTTGTTTTTGTTTGTTTTTCAAAACAGGGTTTTCCTGTGCAGCCCTGGCTGACCTGGAACTCCCAGAGATCCGCCTGCCTCTGCCTCCCGAGTGCTAAGGTCAGAGGCCTGCACCTCCACTCATTTTCCAGTTTACTCACACTTTTAGATACGGGGCATGGAATCCGTGCTAGATGAGCACTCTACCTCCGACCATGCCCTAACCTAACGTGGGAGGATTTTAGGCCCGGTGTGAACTGTATGTCCAACTCCCCCAGCCCTCCCCTGCAGCCCTCTCCAGGGTTTCTAGCCAGGCGGTGGTGGCACACGCCTTTATCCCCGCACGGCAGAGGCAGGCGGATCTCAGAGTTCTGGGCCAGCCTGGTCTACAGAGGGAGTTCCAGGACAGCCTGGGCTACACTGAGATACCTTGCCTAGAAAAGCAACAAGCAAATAGAGGCAGGGCCTCACCGTGTGGCCCTGCCTGGCCTTGAACCCACAGAAGTCTGCCCACCACAGTCTCTAAGGTTCATTTCTCCTTCTGTCCTCACTCTGGGTGGGGGGGTTCGCTACAGAATTTTATATCTGAGGCTTTGGACTTTTCCTCTGTGTTTGGTTGGTTGGTTTGGTTTGGTTTTTGGAGACAGGGTTTCTCTGTGTAGCCCTGGCTGTCCTGGATCTCACTCTGTAGACCAGGCTGGCCCTGAACCCATAGAGATCCGCCTGATTCTGCCTCTCAAGTGCTGAGACCAAAGGTGTGTGCCAGCACCTCTGTTCTTGAATGTGGATTTGTGACCTTTCCCGTAGCCCCCCCCCCAAAAAAAAAAACCCTCCTTCCCAACAGGTGGCAGGATCTGGACCCTTGGGGATAGATTACTTTCAGAATGGATTTGTAATTTGGTGGTGGCTGTTTGGAGGTGATAAAGTTGGAAGCCGGGGCCTGATTGGAGGACGTGTTTCTGGGGGGTGAGGCAGATCTTGTCCCTTGCTTCCTTCTGCTTCCTGGCCACCCTGTGAGCGACTGCTCCGTTTCATTCTCCTTCGCGACGGTTGGTCAGCCCACCAGGGCCAGGCAGAGCCAAAATGACTTTCTCCTTCAGACTGTTTCCTCCCTGGGAAATGGCTCAGTTGATGGCATGCTTGCCTTGCAACTGTGAGGACTTTGGTTCAGTCCCCAGGACCCTGGCAGAAACCCAGGCCTGATGGGGTGCACTCGCAGCTCGGCACTGGATGTGGAGACGGGGATTCTGGGGGCTCCAGGCCAGCCAGTCTAGAGGAATCACTAAGTTCCGGTGCAGGGAGAGACCCTGCCTCCATAGCGAGGTGCAGCTTGATGGTGCATTCTCTCTCCTTTGGTCCCTGTGCGTTCCAGGACAACCTGAGGACTTCCCTGCCAGTCAGGGCTACAGGGTGGGACATGCTCTCAGAACTAACAACCATAAGTGGTTAAGAACACTGGCTGCACTTTGAGATCTTTGGCAGCAATTAACCATGCAGCTCACACACGATTGAGCCGGTATGATAATGAGTATTCAGAGACGGGTAATGCCTGGGGGGCGCTCACCAACCTAAGACAGAGCGCCTGTGTGGCCTGGGCAGGAGTCTCCATGATGTGACCTGCTGACATCCCACACAACCTAAGTCAGAAGCTCATTTTTTAGTAAAAGGGGGGACCTGTAGGTCCCTGGCCCCCGTTCTGGGTAACTGTTGCCTTGCTTGCTGACCTTGACCTTGATATCCTCCCTATGCTAATTCCCTGC